GTCAAGGGTGAACCTGGCAAAATTGTGAAATAGAGTTGGTCTAGATATTCACGCACCTCTAATGATTTGGGTAAGCAGTGACTTCAGTCTTTGGCATTCCTTCCCAGGCTGCCCTTTGCTGAAGTTTTACGTACTTGTTTTCCTTGTCCCATATTGCTCTTAGTAGTCTGATAATCCCTTCATTTTGTAGATGGGAAAACAGATTTAGAAGCATGAAATTTTGATCAGGAGTTTAGTTTTTGAAATGTTAAGTTTGAGATGTTTGTTAAACATTCAAATGGACATGTCAGGCATCTGGATTCAGAAATTTGTAGTTAGGGGAGAGATCCAGCCTGGAGACATGAATTTCGGAGTCATTAGAATATAGGTGGTATTTAAAGCTCAGAGATTGAATGAGAACCCTAAGGGAGTTAGTGGTTGGAGAGCAAGGACAGCCTTGGTTCTTTAAATCAGGAGTGTAAGGAAGCCAGCAAAGATTGAGGAAGAACAGGTAGTGAGAATGGAGGAAAACCATGAGAGTGTCTTGAAAGCCAAGTGAGAACAGTGTGGTTAATTATGGATTATGGAACCAGAGGGTTTCAGACTAAGCCATTTAATGAAGAATGTAGTCATTGTATTTTGTGTTTCAGTTAAGAGTTCCTTTTGTTCCATATGCCAAACTAGCAGAGGCAAAAAGATTTTCTAATTTTATAGATTTGATTAAATTACATTTTTTAGTATATAAATATATTTTTAGTGGGGATGGAATGGGAAGTACAGTAGAAGTCATGACTTGCTGTGTAATATTTTAGATTAGTTAAGTATATAGACCTAACTGGTGTGATGTGAAATGAGAAAAAAAGAGTTGTAATAGGTTTTGTTCAGTTTATATAATCTGGTTGGGGAAATAAGAAGACATCATAGCTGTATCAAACATGAATCTCAGTCCAAAAACTCAGATAGAAAGAAAATCACATTTGCTTTCTTTAAATCATCTTAATTTGAAGTCCATACTCACTTGGCAGGAAATCCAACCTCAGCTGTCTTTGGGGCCCTCTCTCCTCATGTTGTTGGAAGGTGTGGTGTCATGTGGTTCAGGTTTTGCCTGTACTAGTAATGGTACTGTCTTTCACTGCCCTCCACAGGGTTCCTTCAGGTTCTGTGGCTCTGCCACCAGCCGTGGGCCTCCAGTGCCTATAGCTTGGCACATAGTTGTATCTTGCAGACACTTTTTACTGAGTTCATGCCACCTCTGCAGTGCTGCCATGGAGTTGATCCCATTCTCTTTAGAATATCTCCTGAGATTGCTCAAAAGCTTCATTCCTTAGTTTTTTCAGGTCACTCAGTATAGTCTCTTGGGTTTTACAAAACATAGGTGCTGGTCTACATTATGTGCCACTGGAATCCCTGAGCCAATGTTTTGGAAAGCCTGGGTACCTGATTGAAAATTGAGGGGAGGGAGTAACATAGGAAAAACATACATAAATGAATGTTCCAGAAACTAGCCCAAAGAGGAAACACAGTAAGTGCCAAATGTCAGTAAAAGTATGGTTGCTGGGAATGTACTTGGAGTGATCTGAAAACTTCACGAAAGAGATGAAACTTGAACTAAGCCTTGAAGGATTGGTAGGATTTGCTAGGAGTGAGTGTAATGGGTCTGTTGTGCTTGTGCGCCTAAGGTAGTGCCTTCATGTATGTATCATTGGGGGGTGGTGACACATGCATGAGTTGGAGTGTGTGGCGTATGTGTGTGACAGGAAGAAGAAGAGAGTTAGTTTATAGTGTTGCAGAAGAGCTTCAGAAAGAGGATTGTTTGTTGACAGCTGGATGGATTTAGAAAGGGAAGATGCTTAGGAGGTTGTTATCCTAGTTCTGACCTGAACTGAAATGACAGTGGGAATGGGAAGAAAATAACTGATTGGATAGAAATCTGTAGGAAGAATCTATGGGGAGAAGGCAGAATTCAGGGTGATTCTGCGTTTCTCTGCTGGTCACAGGGATATTAATTGGGTCATTACTGTAAACTGGAGAAGTCAAAATAGGAGTTTGTTGTGAGAGGAAGATAAGGGGTTTGGAATGAGCTATTGGAGCCCTGAAATGAGGTCAGATTTGTAGATGGGGAGGGTTCACCATACCATCAGTCTTCAGGATCCTGCTCTAGATTGGTTGTTTTTCCTGATGAATATCGTGAGGAAGACATAAGTATCTGTTTCCTCAGATACTTATGAGGAAAGAACTGTGTGGGATTTTGGGCTTAAGAATTAAGTAGTACTTAAAATTTTTTATTTACATAAGTTTTATAATTCAGAATTTCCTTGTAATATTTTAACAGAATCTGAAAATTCAACATGCTTGGGATTCCTTTTTTGTTTTAGCTTTCATCTATATTCCCTTAAGATGTGTTCTGAGCATTTGTAAATCTCCACAGATTTATATGAATAAATATTTATATTAGCAAATGAATAGATATTTATATTAATGTGAATTTATATTAATAAAGCTAATAAAAATCTTTAAGATTGCTATTAGTCGTAGTGAATATTTGAAACTAACTGGCAACTGAGCTTAGCTCAGTTTGTTTCTTAAGGAATTTGCACTTGGTGAAGATTAACTTTTCCAGCTCTCTTTCTTAGTTTTTTTAGTAGGTGGTTGGGGAATTAGTAATTGTAGCTATAACTTTGAGTAGTTGACTTCAATATAGATACATTATTTCTTTCTTTTTTTTTTTTTTCTTTTTTTCTTTTTTACTGACCGGTAACGGGATTGCAACCCTCGGTGTCGCGCCCGTACCGGGGACCGGCAACGGGATCGCAACCCTCAGTGTTGCGCCAGCACCGCGCTCAGCCAGTGAGCGGGAACCGGTCTCCACATGGGATCCGAACCCTCGGCGGGAGCGCCGCCATGATCCCAAGCGGTGCACTCTCCAGTGCGCCACCGGGCCGGCCCTAGATACATTATTTCTTGTACAATGTTTAGTAATGCTTCACAAATATGGTTTAATTAATTCATTAAACATGACAACAGTATAACAAATGTTGAATTACTGGCCCCTTCCTTCCCCCAGCCATATACTGTACAATACATATACCATAATACTTGTGCTCTTTTATTATTATTTGAACTGGAAGAATATACTTAAATGTGCTTATGAATTTAGTACTGGAAATGGTTGATATATTTGGAAACATTATTCATCCTGCAGATAGAGCTTGATGCACAAATGGATTCCTGGGATCTTTATTCCTAGGATAGAAACTGTTGGTATTACATTTGAACCAAGGAATATTTGTCTTAAGAGTAGCAGTTGTGTCCACCTCTTCTTAAAGAAGTCCGGATTTTGTAGATTTTATTGTTGTTTTATTGTACCAATTAATTGAATTATGATTGCTTGGATAGAATTTGGAAATCTGTGTTGCATGCAGAATTTGGCTTGCAAATTATATTAACTTGTGTATATGAATATGTTAAAATGATATTTAGTAGCAGTTTTATTTCAGGGTGCAGTATTAACTCTTAAGAGTTGGTTACTTTGAACGTGATTTTATGTACCTTTTTTTTGTCCTTTTTGAGACCGGCTGCACTGCGCTCAGCCAGTGAGCACATCGGTCATCCCTATATAGGATCCGAACCCGCGGCGGAAGCACTGCTGCGCTCCCAGCGCCGCACTCTCCTGAGTGCGCCATGGGCTCGGCCCTTATGTACCTTTTGAGGTGTTTTTACATCTGGAGGAAAAAGTGTACACAGTGTTAGCTTCTTAATAATGCAAGATCACATAGTTGAGATGTTACCCTTACTCTCTATTCCATTTACTGATTACGCAGATACAAATAGATGTCTCAGACAATCCTCTCCAATGAATTTTAGCTTTCAGTTAATAAAAAACAATATTCCTACGAAGTTTCAGTTCCTCACAGAGTGGATACTATGCATCGTTATCTAATATTAATGCACTTCTCTTACAACTCTTGAGGCTGGTGGTGTTATTGCTTAGTTACCTGGATTTTTTGGATGGGGCAGGACAATTAGGCAGCTATTTGTCCAATATTTTACCAGGCATATTTGACAGTGGTTATTTTTTGTGACAATTTTTAGTTCTTTTTTTTTTTGTCAGCTTTGGACATTTAAATATATTACGCCTGGTACATTAGTTTCATCAAGATTAGCTAAGAAAAGGTAAGGTCACAGGCTGTTTATTTGAGCCTACAAATATATCAAAGTAAGACTTACCAAAAAGCAAGCATGGATTTTTGAATGTGAATATTTTAAATGAAATATTGAAATTACTTGTAGTAGCCTTGGATATATGTTTATTATAGCATTTATTCTTGTTATGTAAGTTTGTGCACAGTCATTGTAATTTCCAATAGCATGAGTAAGTTTTATATTTTTCTCCCTGAGAAACTAAAGGACAAAGCTGCCTAATGAATATGAAAGTTGTCATTAAATTTCTGATGTCCAGTTCCCTGCCCTTCGACACTTTGAAATTGCTGTTAGAGTGTGTGTAATTAGTGTGTACAAACTTAACTTAAAAATCTAAGATAAGTTTAAGTTACCTGTGTTAAGAAAAAAATGTAGTTCAGTGCTGAAGGAAAAAGATGTCAAAGCTAAATATAAGAATTTTTTTTCTGTTTACTTGGATTATACCATCTTTCCCCTTTTAGTAATACAAGCGGTATAGGTAGCAATTGACTTAGCACTGCCAAATTAATATTAACGATAATATTAGCATGTGTATGTCTGTGTGCACACACACAGTTAAGGTTATGTAGAAAAAATGTCCTTCCCATGTTTCATTTGGCTGATCAGCTCAATGAATTAGCTAATTTTGTTGCTGTGTTAAATTAAAATTCTAAATATGGAAGTTGGTTATTAAAATTAAATGAGTAGGATTAAAATATAGAATTGGTTAAAATAAAAGCCGTAAAAAACCACAAACTTTTGGATAAAGTAGGAGGCTTCAAGTGAAATTCAGTTTTGGTCTCCTTTACAGGAATAGCTATTCACAGTCAGACAGGACCACTTATCAAGTTTTGCAGTATCTCCTGAGGAAGTCAGAATCTGAGCCAGCATGAAGACTGAATCTTGTCTTTGGTCTGATTTATAAACTGTACTTTTATTCTAACCATGTGCAAGGTGAAGGTTATAGCATGGAAACTAAAATCTTAGTAAGTGTGATTTTTATTTTAGCTATTAAGTAGTACCCTTTCTTATAGTGAATATGTACTCTAAACAGAGTTCGGGCAGGAGCATAATACACTTCCAAAGTGAAAGATTTAGCATTCCAGATTCAAGAAAAATCCCTGAGAAGGAGAGTGAAAAGTTTCTATTACTGTGTCTTGGAGTTCTTTCTCTTTCCTGTTTAAAAATAGGTGGTGGGATGAAATGGAGTTGAAAAAAGATTTAAGAAAATGGAGAAGTTGGCTTTGATGGCCAGTGTCTAAAATTCAAGTCATTAAAAAATATCATTATTGAGCTGGCTGGTTAGGTCAAATGGTTAGAGCACAGTATTGTAACACCAAGTTTAAGGGTTCAGATTGCCTTACTGGCCAGCCAGTCCACCCGCCTCCCCCCGCCCCACCCCGGTTTTTAATTTGCTATGTAAGTTGCTTCATTTATGAATTGTCATTCAGCCATAAAATGTTCATTATCGTACAGTGTTAGTAAGCTCACTGTAGAATCCTAGGAACCTTTTAAATAGTATTATTTTTAATACGAATTGAATTTTGAGTATATTTTAAATATTTAAAATAATGGATATTTTGAGTTATGAACATTAAAAATTATATTGGAATGGTTATGCTAGTAGTTATCTCAGGGAGGTTCCATTGATTTGATTTTTCCAAGTATAAATGCTAAGCTGTTTTCTTTTTGCTCCAGAAGGAACTAGATTTTGAGGGCACAGGATGTTAAGGAACTGTCTCTCTGTCACAATGTTAGTTTGTTAATTGTAACGATTACTCCTCAACATCTTTTATACCTGTGCTAATTAAGAGCAGTAGATAATTAACACTTTTAAGCTGCTTTTCTCCCTTAGCTAGAATGATAGAATTGACTTTGATCTTCTGAATTTGTGAATCAAACATTATGATATTATACCTAGATAGCATAATATATGTTGTTTATAATTTGAGAATGGTTATATGTTTAAGGTATTATTTGGTTTGTGTTCTTTCCCTTCCCTTTGAGTCTTTTAACTTGGTTACTTTTCTAAATTGATACTGATGGCTTGGCTGATATTAAACATTTTTATTAGTGGCTTCCCTATTTTAATCTCCTTTCTTTATAGAACGAACCTCCCTTTTATCTCCTGCCTGTCTCTTTGCATTCCAACGTACAATTTTATGAAATCCTGAGGTCTAGGATTTTTCTTTGGAAATTTATCTCCAGTGTCTCTATGGAAATCAAAAAAGAAAATTAGGATAATTCAGTATGAAAGCTTACAATGCATCTTTTGAGAAATGTATATTTTATGAGATGAAGGGTACGTTTATTTTTGGGGGCATATTTCTAAAGGTGAAATTATGCAGTTATTGTTTTAATAACCGTGTCCTAATTATTTATAGCTTCCTGCCTGACATAACTTGCTTCGAGAAGTACACAATGTCAGAACGTGGAATTAAGTGGGCTTGTGAATATTGTACGTATGAAAACTGGCCATCTGCAATCAAGTGTACTATGTGTCGTGCCCAAAGACCTAGTGGAACAATTATTACAGAAGATCCATTTAAAAGTGGTTCAAGTGATGTTGGTAGAGATTGGGATCCTTCCAGCACAGAAGGAGGAAGTAGTCCTTTGATATGTCCAGACTCTAGTGCAAGACCAAGAGTTAAGTCTTCATACAGCATGGAAAATGCAAATAAATGGTCATGCCACATGTGCACATATTTGAACTGGCCAAGAGCAATCAGATGTACTCAGTGCTTATCCCAGCGTAGGACTAGGAGTCCCACAGAGTCTCCTCAATCCTCAGGATCTGGCTCAAGACCAGTTGCTTTTTCTGTTGATCCTTGTGAGGAATACAATGATAGAAATAAACTGAACACAAGGACCCAGCATTGGACTTGTTCTGTTTGCACATATGAAAACTGGGCCAAGGCTAAAAAGTGTGTTGTTTGTGACCATCCCAGACCTAATAACATTGAAGCAATAGAACTGGCAGATACCGAAGAGGCTTCTTCAATAATAAACGAGCAAGACAGAGCTCGATGGAGGGGAAGCTGCAGTAGTGGTAATAGCCAAAGAAGATCGCCTCCTGCTATGAAACGGGACTCTGAAGTGAAAATGGATTTTCAGAGGATTGAATTGGCTGGTGCTGTTGGCAGCAAGGAGGAGCTTGAAGTGGACTTTAAAAAATTAAAGCAAATTAAAAACAGGATGAAAAAGACTGATTGGCTATTCCTCAATGCTTGTGTGGGTAAGTTTCTCTTTTTTTTGCATTTCTTGAATGGGATGGGAAAAGATATTAAAAATGACATGAAAGCTATAAGTAAGGTCAATATTATTTGGCATTTAGTTCATCAGCATGATAGCTGTGCTCTCAAATGTGCATGCATAAAAATCTCTGTGATCTTGCATAACTTTGTATTAAATTGCCTGCATTTAATTGTGTATGTGTCTCTCCATCATTGGGAGAAAAAACTTAAGATAAATTGAAGTTTTTACATATCAGTAGTAAAATATATACCTGGAATTTAAAACTGCTACATTGTTTATTGTAACAAGATGTGACTGAAGAACACCAGCTGCTGTTTCTGAGTGTTTGTAAACAGTGTGAGCATCTTGTGATGATAGAAGCTTTAGTCAGATGTTAAAAATATCACAAAAATATGTGACTCCAAGAAGTTGAACAACCATAATATTGACCTTGAAAATACTGATGTTGCTTTAACATGAATGTCATGTGGTAAATATTTGCAAACCGTATGGAACTTATTTCATGTAGCCGGCTGATTTTATAATTCAAATTATGATTTGTACGCATTGTGTTTTTAGTGCTGTCCTAAAGAAATTCTGAATATTGATTCCAGTTATTAGCTCACAGCTGTTAAAGGACCAGGGATATGTGAGAGCAAGGTTTTTCTCCAGGTATTCACCTTGTGAGTTTGTTATTTGTGATGTAATTCACAAAAGCAGTTATTTAAGTCTTTAGTATTTTTTTTGAGTAGATTAATATTTAGATGTTTGAATTTTATTATTTAAATTGTTTGGATGGGTTGCTCACTTTGACATTCAGTTTTGTAAAGGAAGTTTTGAGTGGTTGCTTAGGTTAAACTTTGTGTGGAGCAATAGCTAAGCCTTAAACATGGCTTAGCTGTATTTTTTCCTACAGTACTAATTTCTTTTATTTATCTCCCTTTATATAACCCCAACAATATGAAAGACATAGCTGTATGAACTTGCAAGTCTTACGAATAGATTTCAAGAAATCCAAGTTTTCTGTTTTAGTTTTGTCCTGGCAAAAAGAATATCCCAGCAGATGAGCGCTTCTGAACTCCAGACATAGTAGGGACCCCCAACGGTTAGTTCCAGTTTTCTCCTATCCTGAGGAGTAGGGATGAAAACACACTGAGTCATCTTCTCTTGACTGTGTTGTCGGATTTCATCCATTGATATCCCTCCCCACCCCTGCCAAATTGGGAGTCCACATATGGTGTGATTGCTGCCTTTTTTTTTTTTTTTAAACAGGAGACGCAATAGGGTTTTGTTATTATCAGTTTATTTTATTTGTTATTATCAGTTTATTTTATCAAATTCACGTAACATAAAATTCATTATTTTGAAAGAAAAATTCACTGGTATTTAGTGCCTTCACAGTGCTGTGCAACCACCACCTCTGTCTAGTTTCAACTCCACAAAAGGAAACACAGTAACCATTAAGCTGTCCCCCCAGTAACCACCAATCTGCTTTTTATTCTATGAATTTACCTATTCTAGATATTTCATGTAAATGGATTTTTACATTAGATGACCTTTTTGTGAGGTGTGATTTTCTTTTAATTACTTGTATGCCATTGGAACACTCAAATATTTTTGTGGGCAGTAGTGTACTATGTTTACTTTTACTATGAGGTAGTGTTATAGTACACATAGGTTTATGGATGGAAATGAACTAAGCTTCATTGCAGTGATTCTTAATCACTTTTGGGGTTATAGACTCCTTTAGGAATCAGGGGTTCATTGTTTCTTCAAGTCATTGGATCCCAGGATAAGGACTCTTACTTTGAAATATTTTCTCTCCTTGAAACACACAATCAACTTGTTTGTATTTGTGGCTCTTATTTCTTGTCTTTATAGCTGTTTTTCCATCTTGGTGCTGCCTTTTATTTTCTTAACAAATATCTTTACTTCTTTTGAATAGCCATTCTTGCGCCTCTCTTTAGCATTTTGGTAGCTGTGAGTTCATTTTAAAGGTGGAACAAAAACTTCTGTCATCAGGGCCAATATTGGATTTGGTTTTGTTTACAAAACAATTTCTTTGTTATTAAGTTGCTTTCCTCACCTGTCTTAGTTGGTTTTCTGTCTCTTATTAAAAGTATACCTGATGGGCCAGCCCGGTGGCGCACTTGGTAGAGTGCGGCGCGTGAGAGTGTGGCGGCGCTCCCGCCGAGGGTTCGGATCCCATATGGAGACCGGTCCGCTCACTGGTTGAGCACGGTGCGGGCGCGACACCGAGGGTTGCGATCCCGTTGCCGGTCGCGGTACGGGCGCAGCACTGAGGGTTGCGATCCCGTTACCGGTCACGAAAAAAGACAAAAAGGAAAAAAAGAAGTATACCTGAAACTGGGTAATTTATAAAGAAACAAAATTTATTTTTTATAGTTCTGGAGGTGGGGAAGTCCGAGGTCAACGGAGCACATCTGGTGAGGGCCTTCTTTCCAGTGGGGACTCGGTAGATTCCTGAGGCAGTGCAGGGCATTACATGGTGGAGGGGGCAAAAGCACCCTAATGTGTGTCTTCGTCTCCTTATAAAGCTGCTAGTGCCACTCCTGATAACCCATTAATCCATTAACCCTTTAACCCATGATCCAGAGCCCTCATGATCCAGTTAACCTTCTAAAGGCCCCATCTCTCAACACTGCCACATTAGGGATCAAACTTCCACACGAGCTTTGGAGAGGATAAACACTGAGACCATAGCACCATTCCAAAGTTTCTAGATTCTTAGGGCCAAGGGTTGATTTTATTTGGTTCTTGGTAATGTGGATTCTGTCTTTCCTCTCAGCAAATATTTTTGACTGTTACCTGCACAATACGGTTCTGAACTGTTTTACAGAAGGTTAGGGACCTGTCTCTATTGGGTGGTTGTATCCTGATACGTAAACATCACTGAAATATATTAAAAACATTTATTTTTTTTTACTTTTACGCTCTGTGTTGGGTTAATTAAAAAAAAATTTGAGCAGTAAGACTAACAGAAATCCACATGTGCTGAAAACTCACCTTTACCTCCCCCTTTCTGCCTACCTTATATTCCCCAAAGTATGAGTATAAAATGTGAGACTTTCCCATTTAAAATTGGAAAAAAAATCTTAACGTCAGGCTGGCTTTGTAGCTGATAGGAATAAGGAAGATTCAGTTGAGAAGGCGAAGGTAAACACAACAGTATTGAGCAAGCATCTTTACATGGCTGTTGGGTGTTAAGTTTCAGGTAAGTCATATTTTATGTGGGGGTGGTGGTGCCAAAACCTGTCATCAGTAAAAGTGGAATCTGGGGCGGGAATCACGATAGTAAAGGCAGAGATGTGGATTTAAATGTACAGTTGTCTCTGGAATGTCTGCAGTTGGTGCCAGGTGTTTTCAGGGAGGTCATGTCAGTGCTTACCATAGACTGCCTTTCCCACTGGTAGGCAACAGTGTACCTAGAGAATCCGGCAGCACTACATAATATGCTGTTTTTGTTCTGCTGTTGTATTGAATCAATTGCCTTGTGAAATTGCATTTCAATTTATGACCCAAGTTTATCCCTTGAAAGGACGCAGGGTCAGATAAGAACCCCAGGTTAAATCTGTGCTATTGTTGCTTTGCATTGCTTCGCCCCCCACGGATTTGTCACCCCACTTCCCCTGGGTGACGGAGATGAAAGGATTACTCAAAGCCCATCTCTACTGAGCGGTGAGAGGCCCCGAAGTGGTTAATCTCCCTGGGAACGCTCAAGCGAGAGTCAACCCTTCCATTTGGAAAATTAACGCCAAATTGGGGTTCTCTTCCTGCATTTATTTTACAGACCATGAAGTTACAGGAAGAGACATAGGTGGGGTTATAGTTTAATAGTATAGGCTGGTAACTTTCAGCGAAACAAGCCAGATGACATGCCAGTAAGGCTAATAAGTGGTCCTATCAACAACAGTTTGATCTTAGCAAACATTCCTTTCTATAGCAGTTTCTCCGTATCTTTACATAACCATCAGTAACTACTCTGTCCTTGAGCCAGCAACCTACTGTGCCACAATCCTTATCTTGCAACAGAGACTTATAGCCTGAGGAAATTTCCAGTACTCTGCGTGGTCAATATTTGAAACTGCAAGCTTTGGAAAACCAGGCCCTGTGAAGTACATATGCTTTTTAGTATATTCCACATGCTGCTATAATTTGTATTCCCGAACCCAGACTCATATCCAGCTGCCTATTCACCATCTCCCCCTGAGGGTCTGCTATTTCAAATTCATTTCAAACTCAGTGAGTTTGAACTGGTTTCTCCCTCAAATCTGTTCTCCCATAGTCTCCCATCTGAGTCAGTGGGAAATTCATCATTCCATTGTTTGCTTGGTCATCCTTATTCTCCTCTTTTTCTCTTATACCCCATTTCTAATTGTCAGAAAATCTTGTTGGCTCTACCTTCAGAATATATCCAGAATCTGACTACTATTCACCAACCTGGTCCAAACCATGATCCTCTCCTTGCCCTCTGTTTATGATCTGCTCTCAACATAGGGAACTATTCTTTTTTTTTTTTTTAGAAAACTCTGCTCAGAACTCTCTAGTGATTGCCTTTGTCACTCAGTGAAAGCCAGAGTCCCTCAGAGACTCTACAAGGCCTTCTATATGCTGTGTCCCATATTCTCTCCTCCCTTCATATACGTTGTTTACCTCTGAACTCATCTGACTGGGTCTTGCTCATTCCACTCTGGCCATCTTTCTTTTCTGCAAACAAGCCTCAAGACTTTGTAGTTATTGCTGTCTCCAGATTGCAGGATTTGCTAAATTACCTCCTTCAGTTCTTTTCTCAAATGTTGCCTTCTCAGTGAGGCCTTCCCTGACTGTTGAATCTAAAATTTCAGGCTTGTCCATATCCTCTGTCCCCAGCTTTAATTTTCTTCGTAACACTTGTTACCTTCTAATATACTTAGTCTTCTTGTTTATTGTTTGTGTGTGTCTCTCTCCCCCCTAGAATTTAAGTTTTGTGAGAGTCAGTAA